AATTAGCAGCACAAAGCCACAAACACTGTTATTCAAAAATCATATATGCTCTCGTTGAGAGTCGAACTCAAGACCTCCCGCTTACTAAACGGGTGCTCTAATCAACTGAGCTACGAGAGCTTCTTGTATTTTGTCTTTTCATTAAATTATATTAACTGTTATATTTTCTATCTTGCGTTACCTATTTTCAGAGAGGGAGAGATTAACCACCTCATAATGGAGGAGAATTACGTACTTCAAAATTCATCGATGAATTGAAGTTACATAATTTGAGGACCATAACAAGCATTTTTTTAGATACAATTCACTGTAATTACAAACAAAGATAGAAGTATTCAGATTGGCTAATTTCAATGCCAAAATCCAAATGTGAATTAAGTCGTAACAATAATGTGCAAGCACAATTAGACAGTTGGAAAGGAGGAATCCATGGCAATACCACAAAGAACTTCCTTAGCATCAATGTCTCGCTGCATCCTTCCTCTCCCCAAGAGGTTCCCCATGAATTCTTCACCAGCCAATACCTTGTACCATCACCGGTGTGGTGCCATAACCAACCGCTGTAACACCGTGGTCTAGATCAGTTCTACACTCTCCCGTGAAAACACCTCTTGAGTAGAATTGAAAATCGGCTCCACTAGCATCAATCGACACTGACACTGGTTGGTTTGCCACAGCCTTTAATAATGCTGACTCACTATCAGCTGGAACATTTTGATACCCACTGATTTGAGCTACATGGACAGCCTCCTTCTTTTTGTTACAAGTTCCATCAATTGCGTCATAGGGGTAATTCTTATCACTGTTGATGCCATGGTTTTTCACTATAAACTCAAACCCATCTTCCATCAATCCACCCTCGCAACCTTGATCCTCACCACTGGTGTCACAAGAGACTAGTTCTTGCTCGGATAAGGAGATCAATATACCTTTAGCGATTGCGTGGATGCCCTCTGTGGCTGCAACAGTTGAGAAAGCCCAGCAACTTCCTATTTTTGGTTTTAATTGTTGCAGACTGGTGTAAATCGATACTAATTACTCAAACCACCAAATCAGTCTCAGATCAAAACAAACGCAAGAACAAGAAATCACACAACACACAATCTACCGTGGTTTGCTTGTTCAATATAGAACAAGTTACATTCACGTTGAACTCCAGAGTATGAAGCTCGTTGCACTAGAATTAATCACTTCAAATATTACAGATTATAGACAAATCTCCTTCCCTGTCAACAACACATTCACACACTCATTCACTTCTCTTTATTCCACAAATCTCAACCACTAGAGTACTCTATACCCTTTAAGGAACACCTTGCTCTCAAAATAAGCCTCTAGAACCATTCACACAGAGAAGAATCAGAATGAATCTCAAACCCTAACCCAAATTATAAAATGTGTTTACAGAGAAAAAGAGAGAAAACCCTAATACACGAACAGTTGCCAATTGCATAAAAAAGTTTCCCTTTTATATTGTTGACTTGTGATTGAACTAGAGCCGTCGGATTCTCTTTAATTTGATGGCTGTGACTTGGACTAAAAGGCAAAAATGACAGCGTTTTTACTTAGCTTAAACGACGCACATGCTTCACTTATTTAACACAGACAATTAGACATTAGTACTTTAATACATAGTAATTTTAAAATAAACGTGTGCCATCTGAAAAAAAAAAATTTGTTGTTAATTTCTTACCACAATTGCCTTGGTTCTTGACGGAAGTAACAGCTCCTTTTTTCCAGTCGATGCTAGCAGGCACAGACGTCACATTTTCATACATAAATGATGTTTCTTTCCTAGAACCGAGTCCATTAGGCCTCCTGTATCCATTCCGGGAAGCCTTAATCTGGTCCGCAAATGCATCAATGCTTAGCGTGTATGGTTTGCTTCTAGCTGCATTAGAAGTTTCTATGTATGCAACATTATCCTTGAATATCTTAAAACGTCTTTCTTTCTCGTCAGCATCCTTTCCATATTTTGACATCCATTGTTCATGTCTCTTGGAGCTCATGGGATGTGACTTGCAATTGCCAAAATGATAAAGATGGCCGAGACACAAAATTTTTGGTACATTAAACCCATAATCGAATAGCCAATGATTTTTCAGGATGTGCTTACTTTTGAAATGAATGAGTTGCTATGCACTCAAGCCTTTATATAGAGGACTTGTACACCCAATCACTGGATGATTTCTGATATAAATTCAGTCCGGGCAGCGGCCTTGAAACCTAGACTCCCCGGTAAATTGTATATGATTTTGTTTCCGTGTAAGTTGCTCTTCTTCAAATTTTGTACCTTTTCAGTTTCAGCAATATTCAAGACAAAAGAAGCCAATCCTTGATGATGAGAAAATCATATACAACTATTAAATGTAAGTCAGAGAAAGTGAAAGAAAAGGTTAGATGAATCCAAATTTAAGCTATTTAAGGACTTGGACAGCAGATTTTTCATATATTGGAAGTCATTACTAGCATTACATGGGGCACATTCGAGTAGGGGTGTTTCTCCATTAGTAGCATATGTGCATTCTTTAAGCAAATTCCTGTCCAGATGTAAATTGGAACTGGCGTTTTATATAAATCAACCATTTGACCTAGAATGCGTGTTTCTACATTTACTTCATTAGCGCGTCAATCAACTTCTCTAGATGTAAACTGATACTAGCTACCAGGCTTTTTAGGCATGGCCCCTTACCTTACCAGGCAACTAAATTGGTGCCAATCCTGAAAACTGTAAAGGGGGGTTTCGGAAGCAGGTTACACAAACACGAAAGTAGAAAAAATCCCCTTAGTTACACTATAAATTCTTGCAAAATTTTGTTAGCTAAAGCCTTTGAGCAGCCATACAATATAGCCCATTGCACATGGACTGTAAAATGCTAATTGTAATTGTTTGGCCCCTGATGGTGGTCCTAAATTATTAATGAGAGTCATCCCACTGATATTACTAAGGGAGTAGTTAACTATAAAGGTAGTCTAAGAAGAGAATACTTAGATCATTTATGCCCAATAAAAATTATTGAGGGAGCAGTTACTTTTAGTTAAAATATCTGACTCTTTCTGGTAATTCTGATGTGACATTGTGGTCTTTGAGTCCAAGTGCACAGCCTTGGCAGCCGTGTTCTTTTCCCCTTCAATTTGAAGAGAATGTTTTCCTGGTGCTTCAAAAAGCAATTTTACAGTTTTAAGAAATTTTTCTTTTTTTGTATTTTTCAATTTGAATACTAAGATTTCCTGCAGATAACTACTTGGCCAGCTTTACATTATCATTCATGACTCTACTGCATGCCTCTTACAGAATGGTCGCAATTAAACAATACTTTTACGCTACCACTCATGATGATTCCACTGCTTGCCTTGTACAAAGTGGCCGCACCCGTACCAAAACATTACATTTGCCCTTACCATTCATGATTCCACTGCTTTACATGATGTAAGAATTAATGGCTAAACATCTGCTTTACATTTTTTTATGGATACATGAAAATATGCCATGAACACAAATGTTATAAGCTTAGATTAGATGAGTGCATCTGTGATAGAACACCGACCTGTTAAACCACCAAGATACACACAAACAATCTATCCAATACCAGTTCAAACAATCAATAAGCAAAGGAAAGAAAAGGAAATAAACTCTATATTGATATTAAAACAGATCAGTACATCCAGAGGATCATGTTCTATCATCTACCCAGCAATCTAGCAGCAAAATGGAACAATTCTAAGTATAAGTACAGCAAAAACAAAGATCAAAGTGAATTTTTTTTTCATCAGAATAGAACCCATTACCATAGTCCCAGTCAGTTCGATAGAAGTAGAATGGACAAAATTAGCCCACGATAGCAACCTGATAAATGAAACTGCTCCAGAAAGAAAGAAAAAAACAGTAGGTGCAGACCCAAGTTAATGATTAAGCACTGAAATTAATATATAACTAAGTCAACCTTATAGAATCATCAGCCCAAAATTTCAACCACTTCCATTAATCTTATTGATGTTCTTTCCCTTTCCAACTCACTATTATGTAAACATTCATTATTGTCATGTATAGATAGCTGATATGTCAGCAACAATTTGTTTTCTTTAATTTAACCAGTGTTCTGTTTTAATTGTTCCCCATGTTTAATTTCGGGTTGGTATTCTGTCAGAATTTGTTCTAACAACTTCTAAATCTAAAAAAAAAAAAATGATACAAAACTAATAATCAGTAAAATACATCCATAACTGCAATGAGTAGTTTAATGATAAACTTAAGCGTACATAACAAATATGTCATATTGAATATTAAAGTTGGAATGAAGTTAGGAGTGGTTTCCGACTTCAGTCATCTAAACAAAAAACATAATCTTTCAAGAGTTTAAAGCTAGCTCTTGCCAAAACAGAGGACTACGAAAGAAAGATAATTGTCAAGAGTGGAACTGTGGAAGCTTCATGCAATGAACAAATTCCTTCTATATTTTCTATGAAGTTGGAAAAAAGTTGAAAATAAGGCTTTAAAACTTGATTCGTTACATCTACCACGCACCAAATGTGAGCAAAAAAAATTTTAAGTTAAGCTGACCCAGACCGCCTCGATACCTGCTCTCCACTGCTTTAACAGTAACCACTTACATAGTATGGGAAACAAACCAACTCCATTGGCAGGCTTTTTGTTCTTGGCTGATTTTTTTTTTTTTTTTTTTTTTTACATCCATCAGCTCATTCAAATCTTCTTCAACCTATAGTACAATTAACACTTTCTTCTTTGTTATATGAATATGTACTGATGGCGAGCCATAACTTAATTTTCCAAATTTACGATGAAAATTGTTAGTAATTATATACACTAAGATGAATTATTGAGGACTTAAAACTCAATAAGAATAACCATGAATAAGTAAAAAATTAATAAATAAAGATAAAGAGATCAACTTATAACATAAAATAAACCAGCCCATCTAAGAAAATACAAGTATGTTCCTACATCACTTGACAACTTCCCACGCCATAAACCTCTTCAACCTAACACAAACCAAACAGGGGCAATGGAAGGCAGCTCCAGCATCAATAATGGATGGAGAATTTGCATATTGGCAAGCTTCATAGGCGGTATCATCTTGGTCTTCTGTCTTAACCATTCTCGCAACGACATAAGCCTTTCAACTGTTCAAAGCTTAGCTGCAACTGCTGCACCGTCCAACACTGATGAATTCAATACTTCAGCTCACTCACCTGCAACTGCAGCACCATCCAACTCTAATGAGTTCAATACTTCAGCTCTCTCACCTGCACCGGCAGCACCATCCAACACTAATGAATTCAATACTTCAGTTCACTTAGCTGTACCAGTAGCACCATCCGACATTAATGAGTTACGTACTTCAACTCGTGATGAATATGTAAAAAAGAAACCAGTGGAGATAAAAATGGAAGAGTGTAATATTTTCGACGGAGAATGGATTTATAATCCCAAGGAAAGTCCTTTATACAATGGACATCAGTGTCCCTTCCTTAGTGATCAAGTCAGCTGCCAAAGGAATGGACGACCAGACATTGATTATCAGAAGTGGAGTTGGGAGGGTAAAGGATTATGCCAGATTCCTAGGTAAGCTGTAAGAGAAGTTTTATAATGTGTATATCTTCTGTTTCATGTCTCCCTTCTTGTGACGAACTTTGGTTTTTAAGGTTTAATGCTACTGACATGTTGAAGAGACTCAAGGGAAAGAGAGTGATTATAGTGGGAGACTCTCTCAACAGAAACCAATGGGAGTCTCTAGCTTGCCTTCTTTATTCAGCCATATCTCCCTCTCGAGCCCATGTTGACATTCGAAGTGGCACCTACAAGGTCTTCAAAGCACTGGTATGACATCAATCCATCACGCTAAGATCTTTGTTTTAAACAGTGAAAGTTTAATAGTTAGTACCAAGATTGTTTATTTGGTGTTAACAGGACTATCATTGCTCTGTTGAGTTTTATTGGAGTCCGTTTCTTGTGCAACTAGAGACAAACCAAAAAAAGGGTAGAAGGAATAATATTTTGAAGCTTGATGAAGTTTCGACCTCGGCCAAAAAGTGGAAAGGCGCCCACATAATGGTGTTCAACACGGGTCACTGGTGGGTGCACCGTGGAAAGATCAAAGCGTAAGTTTAAAAAAGTGAATCACAGTGACAGGATTTTAAAATTAAAAATGCCGTATAAATTTCAGATTCAATGATGAAAATTTTGCAGGTGGGACTTGTTTCAACGTGATGGAAAACTGGTGGAGAACATGGAATTAGAGTTGGCCTTCGGAATAGCCATGAATACTTGGGCTCACTGGATCAATAAACATGTGGACAAAACCATAACAAGAGTGTTTTTTAGAAACATGTCTCCTGAACACAAAGGCACGCAGTGGTGCTACAACAGAACTCAACCCATGAAGGATGAGTCCTTGATAACAACATTCCCCAAGTCAATTATAGGAATCGTTGAGAAAACAATTGGAGGCATGAGGACGCCAGTCAAGTACCTAAATATCACAAAGCTATCTCAATATCGGATTGATGCACATCCAGCAATTTATGCGAGAAAACAAAAGCAAGTGTTAATAGCAAAGCAACAGAGGCAGCCAGAGTCTTATGCAGATTGTAGCCACTGGTGTTTGCCTGGAGTGCCTGATACGTGGAACAGACTACTCTATGCATCCATGGTTGACAATTCTTAATCGAATTTTATTGACTAATTGTAAAGATTTTCTTTTCTCCCTTTTCAAAATGGAAAACGGGATTTCGTGATCACGTCTAATTAGACCAAGCTAGTTCAACTTCAATTGTTTTTTTAAGGTTTTATCCTAGTATTATTATTATTGTTATTTATCGCATAATATTACACAAACAATATTTTTTATATAACATGATGTGGTAAAAGATAATTGACTAATTTTAAATAAAAATAAACTTTCATCCAATCATATTTTATTATAAAATATTTTATGTGTAATATTACTCTTATTTATTACTTTTGTATTTAAATTCAATGGATTAGAAAGCCAAACCTTTCAAAGACATACGCGATTCGACCTACTGAGTTCTATTTGGAAAACCTAGAATCCATCTAAATTTTCCTCTTTTAACATTGAGAGCCCACATATAATAACACCCATCTCCATAATCGTCCATGCGTACATTTCTTATTTCCCAAACTCTCTCTTATAGCTTTATTGATAGGCTGGCCAGTGATTCACTCAGAATAAGAAAATGAGCTTATTGACGTTTTGGGGTATAAGGATCGATAATTATGGCACAAAGCTAGCGGCCAAGTTAAAATGGGGCTTACTATACCACAGAAGTGGAAAGGGGCCGAATCAAATACAGCACAAGTGAAAACTTGCACAGAAACATCATCCAGAAATTTCTTCCCGGTCAATCTTGCGATTTTGAATTTTTTCAACCATTTTCTAAATGGTTGGGCATTTCCAATCTTATGTTCAAGAATGGAGAGGACATAAACTTTCCAAAGACCAGAAAACAGCATAACTGAAAAGAAGAGCATTAAATTAACAATCACAAGTGGAATGGCTAAATTGCTCATACTCCTGTAAATGAACCTGCGTGCATCCCTTGAGGGGACTATTAAGTATTTTTTTTTCTTTATTACTAGAAAGGTGTTTCCTCTTTTTCCCAATTTGGTTGTCATTTTATCGTCTTCACCATATATTCTATTAGCGCTGGACCCTCCGTTGCTATTATTAACATCCAGTTCAGCTCAGAGAGGCTGCAGAAGCGACTTCGAAGCAATTATTTACATTAAGTTGAAACATTGGCGTCTAAAGAAGTTCCCAATCCGACTCACTGGGATTCTGAGGTGGTGATCTCTTCATGTCCCCCATTAAATTAGTTTGCATTGAACTCCCTGCACATTCTTGATTGGAATTTACATTCTCCCCATACCATGTAGCAAGTTGTTCATATTCCTGCTTTCTCCCAGATCTCATTCTTGAAGAAATGGCATCTCTAATCTTTTTCTGCACAAGAATGTTTAATTGAAGGCAATTAAAGACAAAGGAAGAGAGACTGACAGAAGGAAAACAGGGACATAGATGGATAGGGATAGTACCTTGTAAGGCCTGTGTTTGCGTTCCTTGTCAGGAACGAAATGAAGGCCATCTCCATTAACCAGAACACAGTTTTCCTCATCTTGAATATTATCAACCTGTTGAATTATTCCCAAATCCTGTTGAACAGGAATATTACTCTCAATTGTATCAGGATTTGAGTCATCCGCTAGTCCTGCAAAATTCACCTCACACCAGTTACTACATAACATGAAAAACATACATATAACTAAAATCAGTAAATAAGTTCATGAATAACTTATGCAGAGCAGAGGGATGGAAAGAGAGATATTATTTGACACAGAAATGAGAATTTCACAAATACCCAGTGCTGATAATAACACATATGAGTAGCTATCAAAGGCAGTATATAAACTTAAGAGAAACATTTTCTCTAGGCACATTAGGACACCTCAAAGAGTGAAAATTCAACTGAGGCTGAAATTGAGTCATGGCTTATACTGCTGGGAATGTTATAGGTTTGCTCTTCAAGTAATGGATATCATCATTTCTTCTCCTAAGCCGACGGAATATTATATCTTAAGTGGACTTTAAATACCCTTAATAACCTCATTTATTTATATATGAATAGGGATCAAACTGCAAGTTAAACATAAGGCTGATGTACTTTCTCCTTTTCTATTGTTTCACTCATCTCTCTCTAGCCCTAGGTTTGATCTTCAAATAGAAGATTACAGGTATTAACACAACATAAGTTATATCAATAAGTTCCCCCAACAAATCAATTTAACAAGACACTAAGAACAACTTTTAACACAGTAAAAGGTAGTACATCCATTCAAAGAGAAAATGCAACTAAAAAAGAAGTAAGCAAATATCTAACTACAAAAAACTAGATCCAAAAATTACTTCAACAAAAAGCCATATATATAATATCATAAAACTTCAGAATAAATGATTAAAATGACTTTTAAAGAAGCCAACTCATACTCTGAAGAGTTCTTTTAAAACCTACACATAATTCACAATAGCCGACAGAAACAATTTCCTTCATTTCATGGATGAGACATATAGATACCTGGATTGCAAACAAGGATGATCTCATCAGGAAATTCAATGGGCTGAACATCCCTGTTCACAGAGGATCCTACCAGAGAAACTACCCCATTGTTGTTACAAATGCCTGCAGAAGCCACAAGAAATGTTAACAGAGGACCCTGGCAAGGAGAGGAAAACAATAGAAAAAGGGCATAGGAAATAGTCACCGTTTATTTCTGCTAATACATCATTACAAGAGGAATGAGCACCTGCAATTTCAATCTCATTACAACCTTGGCCATCAGTGACAACACCAGATGTACCCTTGCTTGCATTTTCAAACTCATCAGATATTGCTTCTGTGCAGTTACAACCATTTACTTCAACTGTAACGGGGGTTGGACTTATATCTCTCTGGTCACACAATGTGTTTTGATTTTTATCTGAGAGTTCAGAAAATAACAATGCTCGGCTATGATCTTTTTCTGTATGAGTGACTGCTCCAAACATTTCCCTCAAAGAAAAGTTTTCCTCTTTAGATATTTTTTTCACACCCAGTCTAGATTTACGACGAATCCTATTACCATATTGCTTAGGGTAAGAGCCTGAGCATGAGCCTTTGGCAGTATTTCCAGAATATGGTTGGAATGAAGTATCTTCAATGTCAAAACCATGGAAAGATGGTACATGGCTTGCAGCCTTGTCCAGATCATAAGTGGCATGTGAATCATCAGATTGCCCACGATCAACCATCACAGCCTCTTCTTTCATACTTACTTTTGGCTTTTTATAGATCCCAATATCAGTATATTGTTCCGCAGCCAAGTCGGAGGTTGCAGCCCCTTTCACAAGATCCATAGAAGAAGGAGGAAGAAGATCTTGCACCACATCCGAATAGAACTTTTTGACACTTGCACCAACTGTCTGCACTTGATTCTCAACGTATTTAACAGTGTCCTGTCCCAAGAAGTAACATTGAAAAGGTAAGTTAACAGCTACTCAAGTCCCGGCTGGTTGGTCAGATAAAGATTCCAACTCAAATACCAAATTAACCTCATTTTTTTTTTTTTTTTTTTTTTTAATAATCCAAAATTTCCCTGACCTTGCTTGTGAACCTGAGTTCGAAGCTAATGCCTCCAACCAAACCCTACAATCTTTGGGAAGCAAGAAACAATAGCCTTTGGCCATGTAAGTGCCCATGAGGGGACTCAAACCCTAGACCACGTTGGAGTAAACCATGGACCTGACCGCTCAGCTAACCCCTCACAGCTCAAATTAACCTAGTTCTAAAAAGTTACTACCTGGTGATCAATCAACCTAACATGGTCAGCTAATCTGGTACTAAAACTGTTGGTCTAACCAAGATAGAGAGAGACACGAGATTGCACCCTAACATACTTAGCTGCCTTCAATTTTGCAAGTTTGGGGGATTGAATTCATAAAGTCCCCTTCCATACTCCAAAAAGTTTAGGCTGGCTTCAGAGTTAAGAGGGGATCACCAAGAAGAGCATACCTGGTACATAACTTCTTCTACCTCCAAGCACATGGCTTCAAACTTCTGGTACACATGTCCAACCCAAGTTATACCTTTTAGATCCATAGTGACCATGAATTAACCTGAGTATAAGAGCTGTTAGAAATTTTCTGCCTTTTTGTGGATAAAATAAAAGCTTCTTTGTCTATAAGGATTAGCATCTAAGGCATAACTTTGTAGTTTTCATAACTTCCCTAGAATTGAACATATGGTTGAAATAGAGTAAACAGCTTGAAAATGATATATTTAAATGTCATGTCCATATGAAGCATAATGTATTTAGAAAACAATCATCCAATTTCTTGTTCAGTTTGCTTGTACTTTATTTCTTTAAGGACCATAATACCCTGCTTTGACACTCTCTAATAAGGATAATGATATAGCATAATCTAAGAGTTTAAATTAAATAAACTCATTTACCAAGAAAAAAAAACATGTTAGAGCTCAACTTGTTCATCATTAATCCAGAGTTTTCATTCTTCTGAGTTTCTGCAAGTTGTTTGTAACTTTAAATATAATGTAAGAGCAGAATGGCAAATATTTACAGGTTTAATTTGATGTCCAAGAATTATTTTCAAGCAAAAGAAACATATCCTACATCTACACAATCCCTANTATATTTAAATGTCATGTCCATATGAAGCATAATGTACTTAGAAAACAATCATCCAATTTCTTGTTCAGTTTGCTTGTACTTTATTTCTTTTAAAAGGATCATAATACCCTGCTTTGACACTCTCTAATAAGGATAATGATATAGCATAATCTAAGAGTTTAAATCAAATATACTCATTTACCAAGAAAAAAAAACATGTTAGAGCTCAACTTGTTCATCATTAATCCAGAGTTTTCATTCTTCTGAGTTTCTGCAAGTTGTTTGTAACTTTAAATATAATGTAAGAGCAGAATGGCAAATATTTACAGGTTTAATTTGATGTCCAAGAATTATTTTCAAGCAAAAGAAACATATCCTACATCTACACAATCCCTATATCAAATCTCGGAAACTCTTACAGGATCAAAGCTTGCTGAGCGAGTAAAGGACAGATAACAAATAAAATATTACTGCAATTTCAGCATGCATTCAAAGATAGCTAAACAAATTGGTGGCAAGATACTCCGCCGTCATTCAACAATCTAGCATAGCTTCCACACAATCAATCAACTCAGAAACAACTTATAATTCTCTCTATATCTTGAATGACACCTATAAACTGCTGTGAGAACTAGGGGACAAAATTAAATTTTCAGTAGAAAACAATGAACAAGTTTTATTTTTTACGGCAAAAAATATATATTAAACAATGAACCATTAGATTTAACTGAAAAAAAAAAGTAGTTCTAAATCATAGTTCGCGGTATCCAAAACTGGTTGTAGCATATATATATATATATATTAAAAAAATATGGGCTTAAAAAAATTATCTTTACACTTTCCCCACCAAAAAAAATAAAAAAATAATAAAGCTAAAGTCAAAGCCAAGAACCTACAATTGAAAAACGTCACAAAGCCGAAGCCGGTTCTTCCCTAGAAATACCAGCTCAAAACCAGAAGTTGAACATGTAGAGCCTCAATTGGACGAACCCAGAATAAATATTCAACTCATACAAAACCCTTCAAACAATTTCCAACATACCAAACTTCACCAAACCCCCATCAAATTACACCAAACAAAAGAGATAACTTTAATTCATGAGCTAGCTCTGCCTATGTATGATAATCAAAAAATTAAAAAAAAGAAGAGAGAAACACTTCACAGAACACCAGAAACAGACTCAACAAACTAATCAAAAAACACAGTTGAAAACTAAACAGACATGAATTATAGTGATCAAGAAACAAAAACAAACTAACAACTTAAATTAAAGAAACAGAGAAGATAAAGATTAAATTTTTTTTTATTGAATTACAAGAAATTAAAAGGTGAACAACTTACGTGTGGAGAGAGATGATATGACCCCACAAGTCATAGACAGTGTAAGCTTAAAGAGAAGAGAAGAGAAGACCCAAACCAAAACTTAAAAAGTGGCTTCTTCTTGTTGTTGTAAATACGAGATAGACAGACGTAGGGACTCAGTTCACTGCCTTCCTAGGTTTGGACACGTGTTGAACTGTTGAGTTGGGCCCTGGAGTCGGGTTCTTTTGTGGATAAAGGGTCCCACGTTTCCTTTTCTATATATTGGGTGGGTGGGGGCCACAAATTTCTGAAGGCTGTGTTGTCTTGCTGCTCTTGTTCATGCACATTGGGGTTGTTATTGGGCCCCGCACCTGATTGTATTTAGTATTTACTTGCGGGAAATAGTTAGCTACTTTAGATGAAGGGATTCTTTCATTTCCCATAGCTTTTTTTTTTTTTTTAATTTTAATAAATAAATTAAACTTTTAATCAAAATTTCAGTTAAGAATTTATTGGTAGTTCAAAATTTATGTTATAAACATATGTATCATTTAAGACAATAAAAAATTAAATTTTAAAAATGTACGCAATAACATTGAAAGAACAATGTTATTGGTTTCTCACCTTTTATCTTAGTTGACTTTAATTATTATTTTGTTCTTAAATATAATTTTATTTTATTTCTATGAAAATTATTAAATAAGAAACAAAAGTATTTCATACACAATATTTTGCTATTAATTTAATTTTTTATTTCCTTTTCTACATCAAAATTAAATGAGTTTGATCTAAATGAGTTTGATCTAACATATATGCATTAAATTCTTTAAATTTATTTTATCATATTTTATTACTTTTAATTGATTTGCACATTTGCAGAATTTATAAGTTTGTTATTCTTTAAAAAAAAAAAACACATCTGATGCAAATGTGCACAATTGCTTTTTATGCTTGATTGATATGTTTAATGAATATTAGAAAAAGCAAACAAAGATTGAGAAAGTAAAAGATATAAATGTAAGGTTATTTTATATTATAAATAAATAGGGCTTCTTTAGATATATTTAAAAAATTTAATAGAAAAAACTTAGAGGTGGGGTTCATTAAAATAAATTATGAGGGGCTTTTGTTGTCTCATTAACTATAATATATGGCACCCATGTTAAAACTTGTTTTTATTAATTATGTAGATTAATTGCTTAAATAAACTGATTATCTCATGAAACAAATATCCATCTTCTTTGCAAAAAGAAAAGTAAAAACATCAGATCAAGTGGGGATACATACAATTAGCAATAAATCTGAGTGGAGGGTCAAGCCAAACATCAACAAAGTAGTCTTAAAGCCTATCTAAGAAAGCAACAAAGCAATTGGCATTCACTTCCACGTGCATCTCATTTAAAAAGTTTTTTCTCATAATCTCACTGCAATATTTATAAGGAATCAGTTTTGAACGCCCAACTTATCTTAAAAATGTTCTATGAGTTATGAAGATATCATTTTCCAATTTAATTTCAACGACAATATGCTACACAATTTTCATAATACCCGCATTTATGCCAATATACACTTTTCTTTCTAAAACAGGAATATGTACTAAATGCTTAAATCAACTAAAAAAATTTATTTTTCAACTCTTTTTAAGTACATAATTGATTGCAGATAACTCATTATGATCTCAAATATTTCCTTGAACACAGGGATACAGAGCAAACATAGCTAGTTAACATACAATAACAGAATTGTGATCTCAATTACAGTTTGATTCTTCAATAAACTAGACTTATGTTTTAAAAAATAAAATGTAAGAAAATACTGAAGCCGTACAGTTTAATCTCAAGCATACCTCCATATGTGCAGTATTTACCAAATATCTCTCAGCAAAAGATTCTTTAGTTGTGTATTAAAATTTCAAGCATTGCAACCCCAACTCATTAAAAACAAGTCACTGTTTTGAGTATTTGGTATAAACCATAATTCCATAGATCATTTCACCCTGCAGCTTGAAAATCTCCAAAATCGTCATCTGCTATATCTTGTGTACTTTGATTTTCCGAAGAATGCTGCTTTTCTGAGTCTTCTTTGGTTAAACCTGGGCTGTCATCTTTAGAAGCTTCTTCAAGACTGAGATTAGGTGGCAAGTTCGATGGAGACTTTTGAACAGTGCTAGCAGGTGAAAGAGGTGCTGGAGGAGGTGGTGGCGGTTTAATACAAATCTTTGGTTCTTTACCATCACCCTTATCCTCCAAAGATAGACTGTTCATGCCCTGCTCAAAAAACTTGGATTTCACTCTGCCACCACTTTTCTGATGACACCAATATGAGTAAAATCTCATCAAAACACTTAAATATATGGCATGACAGTTTGACAATGACATGAAGACAGAAATAAGCTTACATTTTTTATTTCGACGTGAATTGTCTCCCCCTCTTTTAAACTGTAATCACCAGAGGAAGTGTTCTGGAATTGCTGCTCCATCTCTTCCGCTGTTTTCTTTTTGTTCAGATATCTTTAATACAATTAAGGAAAGCACATCAGAATCATGCTGGTACAATCATCAACTTAAGCTACCATCAATAAAGAGTATGACAAAGATATGTAATGCACAGAGGTTAGATGGAAGGATACTTCATGTGATCATGTAGAGCTGCTTGAAAATCATAAGCTTGTGTCCTTTCTCGGAATCCAATACCTATGAAAGCATGCCGAAGGCGACCACCTACAAGACTTTCAAAACATTGAGTTGGATACAAGGGAAAAACAAAAACAGCAGTTAAATTTATGGAAATTTCCTCTTCAAATTTAACAAGACGCACTATGAAGGAGTACGGAGGGTTAATCTCAGAATTTGGATTATGTGGGGTCATAATACATGGCACAATGGTGATGTCATGTGAAACAGGTTTAATCATAGCAGACTAAAGTTAGCAGGAAGTCAGAAACATGGAACAAAAATCAACAAGATATGAAGAGCCTAAGTTTTATCTACTTACGTCACATGTATCAATAATTTAGAACTGCAATCATAAGCCCATGAAACATATAATGATGCATCAATCATCATTACATACTGCTAAAATAGTTAAAATTCTTTTATGCAGGGACACTTCAAATTATGTGAAGCATGTGACATCACAAGAATATGGACTGTTCTGTGTACAAGAAGATGATTACAGTAACAATAAGAAACAAATGCAGAGGACTAAATTCAGTATTTGTAGCAAGAAAATCCCTCGACAGATTGTTGATGAGAAATCAAAGAGAATAAATGGAGTGAAAAGAGAAATTAATAAAACATTCATAACAACTTAAACAATCACTTAGTTGTTTGAAATGATCATTTGAGAAATACAAATACAATTAGTAACTCCGATCAAATTTGCTAGAAGAAGCAACATAGTTCTCACCAATGTTCTCTTCTATCCGAAGAACAAAATACCTGCAGAAGAAAGGACTTCCATTCAGAGACCTTACTATAGAGTACAAATGAACAAGTCCAAAAGCAGATTCAAAAACGCGTTGGTATGTACTTGAAAATCAAGGTCAGAAAAACAGAATCATTCTCTATAAACTACTTTTAAATTAAAAATAATTTTAAACTTGTCTTATTTACTTTTAAGAAAACAGGATAAGATGATACCAAAAAGGCCCTAACGTCCATGCATCTTGTATGTGAAATGGTAAATTCCTATAAAAAAACAATATGAGAAGGTGGGCAAAGGTTTCAGTTAGAAACAAACTCAACCTGCTACTATCAATTACAGGTTCCACGGGATGAAGTTCTCCATCTCTCAAAAAAGCCCGGGCATATAATTCGCCTATTTAAAACATATCAACTTATTACAGAAACATGCATTCAATGATAAAGAGTAAAACACAGATTTCATCTCAATAAAACACAAAGTCAACCTAACCTGTGGATTTATCCTCAAGTTTGATAATACATTCCTCTCCCTTGCTAACAACTTTCAGTGTCCCTTCCCATGCCCATTTGTTGACATTCCATTCATCAGCCCTATAATTGACTTCAATGATATAAATATCCTTGTTCAATTCTCATAAAACATAAATGCACAAAAAGATCCTGCATCAAATCTAATGCTGGGAGATGTGTTTCAATATGAAGCTGTATCAATCGCCGAAAAGATAAATTAAGAAATGGAGAATTAGAATCTATTACAAGGCTGGGTTCAGAAGGAACTTGTAGAGTTTAATTTTCTTCTTTTGACTTCTAGATAGTCAAACTCAGCCATAGAAATAAATAAAATACGTATCACTTTAAGTTGATTTCATTGTAATATGTCTAGAACAAAGTTGGCTGCCTCAACGTTTTCATAAAGAGTCAGCAAGGCAGACCCTCAACATTTTCTTCCACTGTCCCTTCAGCAGTCAAACAAGGAATAAACATTCAATATCAACAAAAGAAAGCAGCTGCCCCCACCTCATAACCACATCTTCTCGAATGAATAGCTTTCTCATTCACATTAACCGAAGAACTGCCAAGGCTCAACTTCCTCTATTTTACTTATTTATCATAGATATATATTTTTCTTACCAAAAAAGCAAGAAAAAAACTTAGACGACAAATAGAGAAACAGGTAGGAACTCGGAATTTAGTTACAATATAAGCCATTGAAACTCAAAATAAACTCAGAACTCTTTAGATAGAATAGAGATAATTGCATAACCAAGTTGATGGAGACAAAGCATTGACTTAAAAAAGGATCAGGATCACCACAACAAACACACACACATAAAGAATACCAACAATAGATTCTTCTTAACCATCGAGTGCAGAACAAATTAGAAACTTCAATATTGTATCAAAGATCTAGATTATGGCAGAGGAAAATCAGGTATCACAATTTGTAGAGTTGAGTAACAACCTGTATGAAGCTGCACTTTTCCTTGGGGGTATCTGCAGAAACATGCAAAATTAGTTTAATAATGCAGTATCATCATAACCACTAATACAAAGACCATAAAAAAATTCCCAAGGATTAAATGCAAAACAAAAATAGGAAAAATCCCATGCTTAAAAAAATTTGATATATCAACATAAATATAACTAGACTAAGCAATTAAAATCACATGAAGTGATGAAAATGTACTAACAGATTAGGATGCAGCAGATTCTCAATTCTTAATTTTGTGATACGGAAAATCCAGGAAAGAAAGATTAGGCAGGGGAGAAAAATACAAACTTACTAGTGGATAACTTGCTAGGGTTTCCATAGGTTATGTTAAGACCAACAAGGTGGTCTATGAATGAATTAAAACACCAGATCAAAGCATCTAAGCTTCACTATATAAACAAAACAACACTACAAAAGACATACAAGCATACACATATTTCTACTTATAATATGTAGTAAAAACATGAAATCGTTAAGAAAAATTATCACAAACTTAGACCAAATAGGTTATATAAAGTCTAAAATACAAAGTAGCTTTACCAGAACAACAAAATGAGTGATTGTATAATAAAAGAACAATAACTGATTATAGATGTGTGCAGAATAAATTAAACCGATAGAAGACTAAAATATAACATGGATATTTTAATAGTCATCATATCATTGAACTCCCATTGTTTAATTCTAAATGTGGAAAAGGAAAGATAGGATAACCAACGTAGATAGAGCGGTGATTTCAAAAATTAAAGAAAAATCTAACGCTTGTCTTCATATACTACACCCTCATTAACCGACCCACCCCACACCTGATACGGACCACCAAAGAGAGAACAATCTTTGTAGAATATTGGGAAGTAATTTGTTGCTATCAATAATCTGAGATTTTCTACCACTATAGATCCAACTCTGAAAAGTATCAGGCACTTCTAATATTTCATCCTCACGAATCAACAAATGCATCTTTCTTAAGTTAACAATGGGGCAGAGTATATCCAGTCAATCATAACAGCAATTCAACAAGTAAATGTACTAACAGGAATTTAGTAAATAAAGATCAGAGATTTGTGCAAATGTTGCCTCACAAAACTGCCAATGATACACAATACTTTCGCAAGACTAAAAGGAAAAGGCTTCTAAATCTCTATTCAACAGCAACGCAATAATATTTAGAGCGAAAGATTAACTTCTAAGCTCTCATCAGTTTTTGCAATCATTACCAACGTAGCATAAAATCCCTTCAATTCATTATATTTTTCTTCGATTTTCAGTACTATCTAAAAAAAAGAAAAAAAACAAAAAAAAAAAAAAAAAGTACTTTTATGCGAACTTAATCCAAATCAAAATCAATTTCTCAAAAAAAAAAAAAAGGCACTTTGACGCATAAACACTCATAAATTACCGAGAGACTTACCAAATAAACGTAACATTCAGAGACTTGAAAGAGAACAAGCTCTATAGCTTCAGTTTCTTCGCTGCTCCCTTTTTTATCTTCCTCTTTCTCCATGATCTAAAGAGACAAATTTTTTTTTATTTTTTTTTTTTGGTTATAATGGAGGAATTTCAGTTCAGTGTTAGGTCTAGATGGTAATTTAATGAAACTAGAATGGCCTTTTTAGGATTATGAGATTGATCGTAACACGATGTGCAATGGGAACGTCGTTTACAGTTTCTTGGTCGAAGACAAGAACTATGGCAGTAACTGAACGGCTGAGATCGTCTGTGATCTTGTATAAGTCAAAGAGATGTGCGGCTCTGACGGAGTGAGCGTGTAGAGAATGGTGAAGTTGTTGCTTCATTTCTAAGGAAGGGACGCGTACTCGTACATACAGTACCTTTAACCTTCTGAACTAACAAGTACAACCGGCTACCAACCAAACACTATTTTACTTTGTCCTTATTTTTTTATTTTGTAAAAATTGGCTACGATTGTTTTCTTATTTTGAAAATATTCTATTCCTATCATTTCCTTATTCTCAAAATTCTATCTAGTAATATTCAATTATTTTAAATCCTATATGTTTGTTTATTTAACTAAACACTATCATCACGATGGTCAGAATAGTCAAAAATCTAACCATCGTGGATCTAACTTACCCATAGTAAATCTAATCAAAAAAGGTCATAATGATGCACGACCAATCAAATCTGATTGGTCATGCACAATGACACCAAATTCTAGTGATAGTGATCGAAATCTAACAATTGTGGATAGGTAGGAATATTTTTATTAATTTATAAACTTTTTATTATTAAAGTGTTTAACTAAATTAACAACCTTAGGGATTTTTTTTTTTAATTTTCAAATCCTACCTTTAAATAATAACCCAACTCAACCTAACAATAATATTTAAAAAATACTATTCAAAACAATAAAACAAGACTTTTTAAGAAAATTCTTCTGTAAATAATGAAATGGACTTTGATTTAATTTTTTGAAAAAAAATGGTAACACTTTCATTTCACCTCTGGCGCTGTATTAACAGAAAGGCCAAAAAAATAAAAATAAAAATAAAAGTCGACTAATTTCTCTAAATGAGTGTGGATCAAAGGGAATTATACAATATGCAGTCACATACAAGTACAACCTCACAGAAAATGGAGTATGCTGCAGGGTGCAGAGTGAAGATCGACTTGTTAATGTGGCACACTTGCTGTCACGGTTCTGTGCCTTGGGTCAGTGAGAACTGATTTTATATTTGCAAACCCAACTTCTTTCATTCTTCCTTCCAAATCAGTCAGGGAGTATTCGTCTAGAAATGGTTCGGTGCTCTTCATTAATGTAAACAACACTGGAGATAGTTCCTACATTACAAACATAAAACCAATGTCAATGTTTCTGTTATTACCACTTCCATCACATGTTTAATGGGTTCTAGGTTCTTGTTTCAAAACGAGGCAGTTTGAACGCAAAACTTCAATGTTTTGGAAGAAATTTCCGTTAATATATATTCGATTAAAGTTTGTGCCAAAATATACCAAAGCCAGATCAATGGTTGAGTATCAGCACCATACCTGAAGGGTCTTTGATTTTGGCTGCATAAGAAGCAGAATTAATGTGAGCCAGTTCAGTGAAAAAAAAAATGATAGAAGACACAGAGTCATATTAATTTACCGCAATATCATTCAAAGCAATGGTGCCTCCATGTCGAAGTAGACGGAATGCTTCCCTCAATAAACCAATTATTGCTCTTTCAGGACATTCATGGAGCTGTATACATCCGTGGAGTCAGATTCTTGTTTGAGAACAATGANGCAGAATTAATGTGAGCCAGTTCAGTGAAAAAAAAAATGATAGAAGACACAGAGTCATATTAATTTACCGCAATATCATTCAAAGCAATGGTGCCTCCATGTCGAAGTAGACGGAATGCTTCCCTCAATAAACCAATTATTGCTCTTTCAGGACATTCATGGAGCTGTATACATCCGTGGAGTCAGATTCTTGTTTGAGAACAATGATTAATGAGCAAAAGTTGAAGCAAAGAAAATGATGCACAAATTTGTCATTAGAGGATTAGAATAAAACATGTAAAAAGCTAGAGAACAAACAGATGGCACAGATAGGAGAATACAAACTTTCTGATCTTAAGCCAAGGAAGATGAAGAGCCCTACTAACAGTATAGAGTTCTAGTCCAATAACCTGTGGTTCTCATTTGGTGGTCTAGGTAAAAGCTTGGGCATACTTAACCTCGAAAACAAAGATATTTATGTTTCAAGAGTTTAAATCTCAGTAATTACATACAACTTAAAAGGTACATGCATCCTTACATCGAAGCCTACTATAACAATCCATTATTTCCTTGTTCATCATTACTGTGCCAAGGCAATAAAATGTACTGAAATCTACCAAATAGATAACCCCTTTGCACTTAATAGGTTCAAGAAAAGCACTAGAGAGTTAAGCAGAAATTAAAAACTATTAGTTAGACCCCCTAAATACACTATTAAGTGCAGTGTTCAAGTTTCCGGACATATTGGCATGCTGCTATAGAATAAGCACAAATTAGCAAGCTATCATGAAAGAAACAACACATGCTTTGGCCTCTACCAAAATCTCTCTCTCTCTCTTCCCACCTATGAAAATACACACAAATGCAGATATTGAAAACAGATTGTAGTATGATTTCTATTTTATATTATTCATGAGTCATGACAATGAGTTAATAACATGTTCGCATTTCATTGAAACGTATTTACGTGAGTTACTAAGTTGGAAAATAACACATACCACATATGAAAAGGAGATAAGGTCATATGATTTAGAAGGCAAGCCTGTGTCTTCTCCATTTGCATGTATCCAGCTGATTGGATTCTTTCTTGGGGTTCCTCTCTTTTCCTTATATTGAGCTACAGCAAGAAAGTAAGGTGACAGATCTAGCCCCTGCAGATAATTGCATTGAGACATAAAAAAGTGAGATATTGCACATTAAAGACAAAATGGACTTCACTCTTCAAAGTTTCTTATTACATCAATTCAACGCACCGTGACTTTAGCAGAAGGGAAGTAGTGAGCAAGAAATCCTGTGCTCACACCAACGGAGCATCCAATATCTAGAATGTCTCTGATCTCTCCAGAATATTGTTGATGATGTTGTTTAATTGTTTCAAGCCAATTTCCACGCATTATACGATTTGCTTCATCAACTGAAGAAGCAAATGGTATTGCTCGTCTTGTCATTGACAAGTCCGCGGCCTCTGCTTCTGCTGCAGCCTACCATTTGACATGCAATTTGAAAGTAAAATTGTTTCTTCTCAGTTATATTAGTTTCCACTATATAGTGCTCATGATTTAGTTCATTTATGGAACCCTCTTTAAAAAGTATTGTCTCAGTTAAATTATCGCAATTTAGTGAGAATTAGTACAAGTTATTTTCTAACTGAAAAGCCTAAAAAATGTGCCTGAAATATGCCCATGGAGACTCAGCTTCAGAATAAGTATTAATACCAGTCGGTTTAAAAGCAGTACTAGATAGTTGAAGAGCTAAATACATAATTACTTCACCCCTAAACTTAAAGTAATCTAATTTCCAGATAGGATCAATAATAGACAGGAAAACGTGCAGGATTTCAAACATGAGCTGCACAAATACTCTAACACAACATAGAAGTTAATAAGTCTATATGTGTTACTGTGAATGTGTGTTCCTTAATTGCAAAAATGAAACCAAAAAAAAAAAAAAAAACAAATATCTCATCAAGTTTAAGATGAAGAATTAGTTTTAGTACTTACCAGCCAAGAAAGGTTGCCTTCATCATATGCATGAAAGGGACTCAGATAATCTGTTCAAAAAGAGCATTTAATCAGAATGAGAAGAGTTACACAACAAGATATACATAGTATAAGATACAAGTAGACAGAAAACCTTAAAAAGAGGAAGAAAGGGAGCAGCAATTTTGAAAGTACCAGAAAACAAGGAACCGATAATGTTGTTTAGTTAGTTACAGGTTTATCTCTTCAAATAGTTTCAATAGCATTACATACCACAATCTATAGTACTTAATAACAAAACAAAAGATACATTAGTGTCAAACACAAAAGAATTAATTATTCATGGCTAAACAATTACACAACAAATGTTTGGAGAATTGAATATTAATCGTTCCAACTCCTGACTAATTGCATTCGAAAGGGCATTTTTTTTTTTTTTATTTGTTATTATAAAACAGCGAAAACCAACAAATTAGAAATGAAGAAATAAAAAGACATACAATCTGGGTACACAGTGGAGGGATTTTGAACGCTCTCCATCTCCTTGTAAACATCTGACTCCAAAATTTCTTTGCTCATTTCCCGCCAAGGAATGTTATTCTTTTCAGCTGTACTGTTTACACCCATATCCCAAATCCAAATATTCAACTGCAAGAATAAGTTATATAATAATAGCCATATTACCAGAGATGGAGCTAAAGTGCAAGAGAAAACCTGATAAGAACTTGTCTAGCGCCAAACTTGAGGACTGTGTAGATGGGCTTGAAGGAAATGACAGCTGCAACAAGACGCGAGAGAGGTGTCTCTCCAGCCCATTTGGGTCGTTCCAGCTGTCCCTCCTCGTACGCTGCCACGTCTGACGATGCTGTCATCCGTACAAGCATTGTTTCATTTTTTCTTGTTCTTCTTGGTGTTGTATTATTTCCATTTGATAATGAAGATGCAGGAGACAGTTTTTGGATTGGAGCACACAAAGCCATTTCAGCTCTTGAGAGAGAATGCAATACAAACTATAGATTACAGAAATAGATTACACGTAGAGCGGAGATTGCCACGTCGCCTCTGTATCTTTAACAACCTATAATAAGCTCCCACGTGGAGGAGTAAGATTTTATCTCCTCCACTCATTCTCTTTTAAGTAAATTTCAGAATGAATCTTGTCTGCGTCAGGAAATAAGAACCAATTGGTAATACAATTTTTATTATTTTGTAATGAAATTAATATTAAAAGTTGACCCTTTAATGGAATTGATGGTGTGAGAAGACTCTACGTTAACTCAAGAGACAAAACATAGTTTGATGGTAAAGAAAGTAAAAAAGTTTAATATGAGTTTTTGATTTCTGAGACTCAAACATTAACAAAAACGATATCGAGCAGATTTACTTTATAGATCTCAAAATATTAATTAAAGTATACACAGATTAATCTAAATACCTCCAATAAAAAAAAAAAAAAAAAAAAACTCAAAAGATGAAGTAACGATGAATATTAAACTATAATTTTATCAACGAAAGTTGTCATAGATTATACAAATTAACCATCATATTCATAGGCATGCAAGTTGCAAAATGATGATCTTAATTCTTATATAAATTATAATAAGCATTGGCTATTCTGCATTTACTACCGTTGAAGTGATACAACTAGCAATCCGCTCTTCATATACGGCTCTACTTGGAAGTGAGGATAAATTTAATTATTCAGAAGGTCTAAAATAATAGCATTGTATTTTAAACTTCGGAAAAACTATTAGACTACTATTTTATTTATTACTTGTAAAATTATTTTTAAAAAATAAATCAAAATTATTTAAAAAAATAATATATTGTTTTTTATTAAAAAAATTTAGATAACCGGTTAGAAATCGGCTATAACCCTTTATTCTTGTACTGTCACTGCATCTAATTTCCTACCCTAAATTCATGTTTATTGTCTGTCAAAGGCTCAAATCCAAACAGAAAATCACTTGATCTATACTTGAGATCAGACTACTTCTAGGCAGATCCCAAATTTACAATAAAAAATGTGACAGTACTATTTTTCATCATCTCATTCTCATACTTGCAAGTAAGGATAAATTTAATTATTCAGAAGGTCAACCCAAAATGTAGAACGGTCCACATTGTTCGTTTGTATAATGATTATTTATTGCCTATTTGCCATCGCAAGGTCAACCCGGAATAAAGAACTATCCATATTCCATATTTACTGCCTCGCCACCGCTACGGGGAAATGACATTGCATCAAGAAAATGAATGAGATATTGGTAACTCTAGAGTATATTACTGTAAATATATAATAAAATAAAGACAAAATTAGAACTTGGAAATAAAACAAGAGCTCACAAGAGAAGCACGAACCTTATCCCGATGTCTTGGTAATAACAAATGGTCATTTAAACGGCTGTTCGGATTCAGAGAGATGGTAACAGCAAATTACTAGTTCACATGGAAAGAGCCATGTGTGATGTAATAAACACCAACCCCACATCGAGTCAACACTCCACAATTTTCATCTGTAATTGCATTTACTTGCACATTATTTGAAACTGTCAATCTTCGTAATAGTCCTTTTCCCACCACCTGCCCCGTCAAGGTGTCTCGAACATATATCCACTGTTTATAAAAGCACTGCCCTTCTTTATTAATCACTCAATCATGCCATACACACAAATATCTATCTGTTTCTCTGCCGCTACCTTGCGTGTTATGCAGAGACTTGGTTTGGTGTGTTAGCTCATCTTCCCAGTTCTACTTCTTTCTATTCTACACTCCACGTCTCCTTTGCTTTCTCTTTTTAATTCTATTTCTTCGTTTTCTATCAATGGAAACTCAGTTTAGAATAAGGACTACGAAACTTTCTTACAGATTGTCCAGGCGAGTTGATGATTTTAATTGGTTTTGCTTGAAGGGGACACCTTCTAATAACAGATACATTTTGAAGAATGTTAATTGTGAAGCTAGACCGGGCCAGATTCTGGCAATTGCAGGTCCAAGTGGGGCAGGGAAGACCACATTGCTTGAGATTCTTGCTGGAATGGTCCCGATGAGTAGTGTCTCTGGTTACGTTCTTGTAAATGAGCAACCTATGAACGTTAGACAATTTCGAAGAGTTTCGGGCTATGTTACACAAGATGAAGCTCTATTCCCACACCTTACTGTCGAAGAAACGCTCATGTATAGCGCTCGTCTCAGGTTGCATGGTGGGCTCGACAAGGCTGTGGCTAGAGTGCGGGAGCTTCTGGTGGAGCTTGGACTAGAGCATGTTGCCAATGTGAGAATTGGTGGTCAATCAAGCCGTGGCATTTCTGGTGGGGAGAAGCGAAGAGTTTCAATCGGGGTCGATCTTGTTCACGACCCAGCTGTTCTTCTGATCGATGAGCCAACTTCGGGATTGGATTCAGCATCAGCGTTTCATGTAGCTTTGTTGCTGAAATCTATGGCTATGAAGCAAGGTAAGACAATTGTGCTAACCATCCATCAACCAGGCTTCCGAATCCTGGAGCTTTTTGATCAAATTTTGTTACTATCAAGCGGAACAGTTCTTCATCATGGATCCTTGCATCTCCTAGAGCACAGGCTTAGGTTTGCAGGTCACTCTATTCCTCGGCATGTTAATGTGCTTGAGTTTGCCATTGAAGTGACGGAAGTTGTGGTCATAAATACTGAAGAAAGCGAATTAGAAGATGGAATCTTAGAAGAGGAATATGAACTTACGACTAAAAATCCCAATTACCTACCTAAAGCTGAAGAAACTAAAACATACTACTCCAATAATCCGTTCATGGAGGTTTTAATACTCGTCCAGAGATTCTCCAAGAATATTAGCAGAACAAAACAGCTCTTTGCTGCAAGAATATTACAATCCATACTTGCTGGTGTTGTGCTTGGAACTATATTCATGAATGCGTGTAATGATCCCAAGAAATCAATGCTACAAACTCAAATGGGATTTTTCGCTTTCAGCCTCACCTTCCTGTTGTCATCTACAACAGAAGGCCTACCAATTTTCTTGCAAGAGAGGAAATTTTTGATGAGAGAAACCTCAAGAGGAGCTTATAGAGTTTCTTCTTATGTCATATCAAACACCCTGGTGTTCCTCCCTTTCCTATTGATCGTGGCTCTTCTTTACACCATTCCAGTGTACTGGCTAGTAGGACTAAGGAGGGAAGTAGATGGGTTTCTCTATTTCTCACTGGTGGTCTGGTTGGTGGTGATGATGTCAAATTCTTTCGTGGTATGTTTCAGTGCTCTGGTGCCAAATTTCATAATGGGGAATTCCTTGATCGCGGGGCTCATGGGGTCTTACTTCCTGTTTTCAGGCTATTTTATATCAAAAGATGACATTCCTTGGTATTGGATTTTCATGCACTACTTGAGTTTGTTTAAGTACCCGTTTGAGTGTTTTGTGATAAATGAGTATGGAGGTGAGAAGGGGAAGACGAGATGCCTACAAACTGTGGAAGGAAACTGCTATCTGTATGGTGATGGCTTTCTGATGCAGCAAGGTTTGAAAGAATCACAGAAATGGAGTAATCTAGGTGTAATGTTGAGTTTCATTTTTGGGTACAGATTTCTTTGCTTTTTAATTCTGTGGTACAGATCTTACCGCACCCAACGTTGGTAAGTTTTCAACCGTCAATTTGAAATGTAGAGATTCAGTCTACTTGTTTCTGCTCTTCCTGAACTGTTTTGAGATTATCTTCTCTTAGATAAAATTGTGTATTTGTTGCATAGATTTTGTTTCTGATTTCTGTATAGTTTTCTCGTCTTTCAAAAGGGTATCACTGCATGCACTCTCATGGAGTTTTGACTCGATCAAACCTGACGGTAGTCGGTACATTGCATAGAGCCATAAATGGGCTGGGCTCGGTCCACTCGACTCGCAAACTCCAACTCATACATTATTACCTTTTAATTTGTTTTACCGAGTCATTCTCTGCCAAGGGAAGTTCATTTTTTATGGCAAAAATACATTAAAAGACGATTTTTATTTTTTACTTTTTTTGCTTTCTTTTCATTAGAAAAATTTTATTGACCCATTTTAGATTTGACTTCAACGTAGACAAATAAAAATACAATTAAAAAAATATAGGACAAATTTATGATGAATCTTAAGAGAGATTCATTATCAGATTTTCAAAATGCAGCAGAGATTTTTTAGTTTCTTTTTTATGTTCGGCATTTTCCCTTTCTCAAACTCTACAGGTGTTTCAAAGATTCATTCTAAAATTTGGAAGAGATAAACTGATAATGATCTCTATCTACAAATGATGCACTGAAATACCTTCAAGCTGATCGGCTGATCCTATGCATCTACTAGATAATTACATTTACTGAAGAGCAAGAGCTTCCAAATTATCATTCACACATAGCAGAACTTGTTGTACTCTCCAACATTAGAGTCCATGGTCAATTATTTTCCTCCCATTTTTAACTTCTAATTAGTCTTAGAGAAATTCATCAAGAAACTTGTCGGTTACAAAGTCCTCCAAATAGCAGTGTCTGCACTCTGCCACAACTCCTTTGGAATATACTAGTTTAGAACACCAACTCCTTCAATTTCTCTAAATAGAACTGGTCATCAGATTTCCCCACCAGTCAGCAGTCATCATAGAGATTGTGGCCCCAAATTTGTGGAAACTTGTGGCATAATATATTTAAAGAAGCATAAAAATAATTTTTAAGAATTCCCTTTATCTCCAGGCATATGAGAATCCCTTTTTCAATTTATTCATCCAAGAGCATGAGAGATACAGAAAATTACATGAACTTTGCTATACTGTCTATGATTCACAATTTCGATGAAGATCCCTAAGTGATCTACGTTGAAGGCACAAGACATTAGTACATTTTTATCTCTAGAGTTGGTAAAGCAGAATAAAAAGTACGTCAAAAAACCATTCATTGTATCACCACCCAGTATGCCAGTGCATATTGACAGAGAAAACATATGCAATAGAATAGAAGATGCAAACCATCACTAAGAGATCATATGGTCACCAGAGATCCCCCGGCGAAGATGACAAGGAAGAATCAAACAAAGAGACCCTTCGCCTCTTATTTGAAAGTCCGGCTCCTAAAAGGAACTCCTCTGTGGCTGAAAATTTATCAAGGACAGACATAACTGCCTGGTGAACAGAGTTCACAAGAGACTGGCATACTTCAGTATCTTCGAAGTTCCTTTCTTTACAGCTAGCCATAACAATAACATTTTTCATCCTGCCTCCCAAGGTTGCGATCTCTGCCTTCACTATCATGAGATGAAGAGCATCAAGTGCTTGTCTTAAGTCAGAGAGAAGTCCCGGTTTATAGTTGCAACATAGAGATGCCTTAATTGAATGAGGGGCTCCATCAATTCCCTCCTCCTGCTGTTCAACTTTCACTTCATCTATGTCTGTTGGTATGAGAAAACCTTCAGTAGCTTCTGTGGCATTCTCTTTCAGTTCTTTTAACTGGTTGATAACCTCAGTCAGCACTGTAGCTTTGTCCATCTAGAGTTCAAATTGGCAGCAAAAGCCAACCAATTTTCATCAAAACCACAAAAAGTTAAGAGATCTGCGTGATCACAGTGGTATTGACAATGAACATGTAACTGAATCCCAGTTACTGATACCTGAAGCTCGAAATCCAAATTCACATGCTGAAATCTAAATTATGAAGTTATGAAGTTATACATGTTCAATACCAACTAGCTCTTTCAAACTAACAAATCCAATTAAATATCAAAGAATTCATTGTCAGACCACTCTTGAGACTCAAATCATCTGATACACCAAAAAAAGGAAAAAATTATTCACAGCAATTTACCAGTAAACCTTCACTAATTCCTCTTAAATTTTTTACAAAGAAAAAATAAATCATTTCGAGTGAGCATAGCAGCATGTTTCAGCTATTCTCAATCCATTTTACATCAAAATAACTCATATGTAGTAACCTTTGAGAAAAGACAATCCAGTTTTCATCAAATCTAAATTTTAAAATTTGAAGGAACCATCATTACCAAATTAATTTACTTTAAACAGCTATGAATACAAATCAAACAACAAACGTTACCTTCTTTGCACCGGGTATTAAGCTCCTAAGCGTATCAAGATGCGCATTAATCCTCCTCCTCCGCCTCCTTTCTGCTTCAATATGATTCTTCAAAGCCTTAACACTTTTCTCCACTGGGACCCCTTTTCTCTGCAACTTCACACTAGCCTCCACAAGCTCTCCTCTCTCACAATCCAAAACCAAAGACGAATACGAAGAGGACCCATTTCTTGCTCTCCCTTGCAACCCGTTATTCACAAATAGCTCATCACTCACTGATTCAATACCATTGCCATTCCTACATGATCTCCAAGAATAAGGATCCATGACCAGCACCAAACAAGGATTAAAAATCCAAACTTTAAGATAACAATGGCAAAATGGGTTCCCAATCTAGAGCTTAGCGTGAGTTGAAAAAGTGTCGAAGGACTTAATTAGTTTAGATATATGCTTTCGAGTGTTTATTCATGGGTTTAACTTGCACATAGAAGGCTGATAACAGAGTTAAAGGGACAGTTTCAACACTTAGCTACCGAGGAATACATACTGTATTTGGATATACGATGAAAGTTTACTCCAGAATGAAGAAAGAAGACACAGATCTGAGAGTGAGGATTTGGTAATTGTCCCTACAAAAGCAGAAAGTTGAGGCAAGTTTTGCCAGTTTGTGGAGTACAAGTGTACGAGACTTTGTCAAGACTTCAAACTAAGCATCATGAAGGGGGTGAGAAAATATATTTCCAATATTTTTCTTTTTCTTTTTCTTTTTCTCTGTGGTACAGATTAGGTTTAAGCTAATAAAGTAGTATTATTACCTACTAATGTTTTAATCGAGTTTTATGCTTAGTCATAGCCCTCGAGATCATGCTTGTTTTGGGTTTTAGTAATGTTATAATAAGACTCTCGTTATACTCCAATTCGGTCCTTCCAATTGATTAAATTTTGGTTCAAACATGCACATACTTTGATTGGTTTTAATGATTCCAATAATTGAATCCATAACATTAAAAATTTGATAGTCTTGTGTTAGATTAATCTTGTGCATTAAAATGTGCTATGGAATTTTTTATATATTGTTAAATACATTTTCTAACACTTCTAAGGGTTATGTATATATATATATGCAGAGTTTAATTAAATTATTCTTTTCAAAACAAATAAAAATTGGAATTGTTGTATAGATTATCATTTAATTGGTGGGTTAATATGAATTTTGTGAAGAATTATTGGAGGTACTTTTTATACTGAAAAAATACCTCCTCCTCTCTCGTTTATCTTAATATAAACGTTTATAGATGTATTAAGTTGATAATATTTATATCAAGAATACGTATTTGGGATTTGTAATGTTATTTTATTGGCTAAATTTAAATAAATATGAACGTTATTGAAAATTTTGGCTCTATGACTAAGAAAAAAGTAGCAGATTATGATCAAGTTAAATCCTAATCCAAAATTCCTGAGAAGACACACGTATCAATGTGGGCTAAAAAATTGATTTCACATATCTAACTTTTGTGTTTGTCTAGTTGTACTCGACGTTCACAACGCTTGAATTTCCATTTGTCGTTTCTGTATTGATGGAAATATTTTATTTTATTATTACAGTCAGCAATCGAAAGTTAGGCAAATGACAAATTCATCACTTTAAAGCAGCCAATTAGATTAGACACTTAACTACCCCAATTTGACTTTATAATCGTGCTTAATTTTCCTGATAATGACAATTATTAAAACCCACTTGTTTACCTATAGACGCCATTTTTCATTTTAGGTGGTCCTACTAATACGATAAATATAAATCTTAATATAGAATTATTAATATTTTCGAACCTTATCATCCCTTGTGAAAATTAATTTATAAGTTAATTTAAATTTATAAGTATTTAAAATTTTAAGTAATTACGTATTTAATTAAAATATTTATAAGTGATTGATAAGTAATTAACGCGTTTGAAAAAATATAATTTATAAGTATATTTTATTATTAAAATGATTAAAAATAATATTATATTATTTTATCAATTAATAAATTATACAGTAGAATTTTAAAATTAAATAAGGATAATGTGATAATATAAGTGTTTATAAGTTACAAAAAAAGAAATACCTCTCCCCCAATTTTTTTTTTTTTTTTATAAGTTCAATTTATACGTATAAAAATTATAAACAAACAGGTTAGTTTAATTTTAAAGCTTATAAGTTGGTTTAATCAGCCTATAAGCTCAAACAAACACCCCTATAGTATATAATTAGTTAATACATTTGTGTTTTATACGTAAATTATATGGTCAATCATATAATTCGTGTATAAAATATGAATTTATGTATTTTATCTAGACAATCGTATAATTCGTGAATTATATACCCCAACCGAATTATTGTCAAATTATACAGCTGTATTTTTGCAGACAAAAGTTCATTATTTGATAAGGGAAGCAACGCCGTTTTAGGGGGGTTTTTGTCAACGAAATCCCCTTTCTTCAGTTTCTCTTTGTCTCTTCTTCAGCTATCAAATATCAATTATCAAACAAAAACAACCGTATCTTTGAATCTTGATCACTTTTCTTCTCTTTTGAGTCTTGATCTCTTCTTCTCCTCGTTTTTAACTCTCTTTTCCAAGACTTCAAGCCTCAAGTACATATTTCTTCTCATTCTTTTTTTAACTCTCTTTGAATCTTGTATGTTCATAGAATGGATTGCTTGTGTTTGTGTTGGTGTGTGAGTAGTAGTAGTAGTAGTACGGGCTGACTTAGTGTTTTAATTGGATTATTGATTGAGCAATGCTAATTTTACAAAGAAACATACAAATATTGCATACAAAGACAATCTATACCCTTAATTTTCATGATTTCTCTTTCTCTTTTTCCGTTTTTTCTTTGTTTTTTGCTTCTTGCTAATGTCCTTTTGTAACCTTCTTTGTATGGGTCTTTGTAAGGATAACATTTTTCTTGTTGATTTGTTATGTTGGTGGATTGACTTGTGTACGAAACATGTTGAGAAGTGTTGGTCTTACAAAGACAAATACAAAGGGGACATACAAAGACAATCCCTACCTTGATCTTCATAATTTCTCTCTCTCTCTTTTTTTTCGTTTTTTCTTTGTTTTTTTCTTCATTTTGTAGCTTTCTTTGTATAAGTCTTTATAAAGATACCATTTTTTAAACATGTTTGATGAAATGATTGTCAGAGTTCTATAACTATTTGAGTGTGATTTTGCGCTCGCAATGTGGGAGGTGAGCTACTGAGCTTCACTTAATGTTGTTAGTTTCCGTCAAGATTTTGGTATGAAATTGATTGATTAATCGTTGATAATACCATTGATTTTCGTCTTATCTGCTTGCCACATCTTCAAATTCAAACTAGGTGGGTCATAAACTGTTAGATGGGTGGACAATGTAGATACAGAACTGTATTTGGGATTCTGATTATTGTATCGAAATGATATTTTGAAAGTCACGGCCAAATTAGACTTGTCTACTTTTGCGGTTTGCCTTGACTTGCACAAACTATTGATGGCATCTTTTACACAAATTAAGCATAGAGAGCTGTTCGATGCATAAGGATGCAACAAACAAAATGCTATTAAATGAAAAATACCAAATCATCCGACTTAAAAAAGAAAAAACACATTCCTTTCTAGCTTTAGAGAAAATAAAAGAGATAGATTTCATGAAATTGCAAAATGTTTAAATTATATAATACTTCCTGTTATTTAAATGCTACCATTTCATAGTTATAATCTATTTTCAACAAGAAAAGATGTGCATGAAATTCTCAATATAAAACAATGTCCAATACCTAAAATACAAATACAAAATCACATGACTTATATATATAATAATAAAATATATAACATATGCTTAAGAATTACTGTATTTTTCAAAACGTATTATTGACAATGTACCGTATTAAACTTGTATATACCCGTATATTATTTTTCTCGTATCTGAATTTTATGACCAAATTTTTATAAACGTATTTTTCACCATTTGTCATATCATACCCGTAAAATTCCCGTACCCTTTTTTTGCCATATCTTTATTTACTAACTATAATATATAGAGTCAAGTTATAGTAACTTTAGAATTTTAACTTAATTTAAGATGCTAATTTACTTAACCTATAATTTAACGGTTAAGATGATGAAGTGGCACGATAACACAGACTATTGATTATCATTGCGAAGAAGAATATGTATTAAACATAATTAAGAAATAGCAACAATGTTGTACTTGTATTTACACCTACAGTGAAAATTACTGTTTTAATAATGTTAAGAATGGCTTTTAGACATTGAGAAAGCATGGGCTTTCAAAAAACGGGAGAGATTACTCTTTGGTCCACTATACAAAGCATGTGCTGCAGCCCATGGGCCTCTAAGAAACGGTGAGGAAATAGCTTTTTAGATTGTACGTAAATTATTTAAATTCTGACCAAAAAAAAAAAAAAATTGTACGTAAATTATTTAACAATAACACTACATATACATCACTCTCTTACAACATTACAACATGACCTGGCAGATGTCACCTCATTTGCCATATCAGTCATATGCCACGTCACTTTCCTCTAAAAAATTTAAAAAAAAAAAATTTCTTACGATAACAAATTTCATTTTCCCTAAATTCAAATCCTAAATTAATTTCATTTTCACTCAAATTCGAACCCTCAAGTTTTTCCCAGATTTCCTTTCAATTTTTAGAACCCTAGCCACCACATTCCCCAATCTCAGGTGAAACGCAATTGCCACTACAACTGCACCAAGTCGACCTCTACACCAGCTCTATTGGGTATTCATCTATCAGGTCTATGGAATTTCGACCGCCTTGATTGTGTTGACCACTCTGGTTTCCTCCGTCTCCTTCTCTACTCTTCCATCAACAACCTCCTAAGGAGTAATTCTGGCCTTCTCCCTTTCCTCTCATTGCTCCCTTTCATCCGTATGTCCACATCCCTTATTTCTCTCTCTGTCTCTGTCTCTTTTATTTTCTTAATTCTAATAGGATTTTGCTAATTATGATTCATAAACAGATATGGAGGGAATTTAACCCTATCCATTTCTTTATTTATTCATTTCATTACAGTTGTTTATCTTTGACTGTATCTCTGCTCTTTTTTCTTTGAATTTGAAAATCCTTTTGTTATGTTCTAGATGTTCTTTCCTCTTGGATCAACGACTATTGTTGTATATGGTGGAATTAGTTCTTTGGTCTTCTACAGATACATAGTCTATGACACTGATCATTTGATCAAGCGCTTCCCATATGACAAATATATTTTGGCCTCTGTTGCTCTCTATTTCGATATACTGAGCTTATTCATTTTCATTTTTCATGTGCTAGGGTTGGCTGACAATTAGGTGTACGGTGGTCTACAACTAGCCTAGATTAGGCTTGAAAACACACCATATGGTGATCCGTTTATGTGGTCATTTGAACTTGAAACTGAAATATGAACTATGGTATTGAGGATTTTGTACATGTTCCCATGTACTCTTGTGTTAGTGTCCTCACAAACTTTCTTGATTGAGAAATTTTTCCATTTGATGCTCCTTCTCACTGTAAATGTGTTTCTTATTATTCATTAATTTTGCTTGAGATACTGCCACTGGATGGAATACAGGAATAACATGCTTATTGATTCGTTTGGAGTTTGGAATGGATGGCAACATGTTGCTTTGTCTTTGAAGACCTTCAATGAGAGAAATTGATGGAATTAAGACAAGTTATACATAGTTGATTAGATTTAATGTTCAGCTTGGCAGCAGCCTTCAATAATTATTTTTTATGGTCTGCAATATCTGGTTAATTGGAAGTATAATTTATTGTGTTCACATTCCAGTCTATTTAATATGTGGTTACTAGTTGGATTTGTTTGCTTATTACATTCCAGTCTTTTAGTCTATTAATTGTGGATTACAGAAAATAAAGTTTAAAAGATGTAAATTATTGTTGTTTAACTCTTGTACTATTGAGCAGCCTTCTCTTTTAAATAGTTTTTACCTCAATGCATCTTCTTTGTCATCTCTGTGCGGAAAAATTTTACCAACTCATTTAAATTTTACTAATGGAATGTGTGAATTTATTATCAGTGCTTAATTTGGCTGTGTAATGATTATGATGATGCAATTTCATATGAGAGTGCTACTCAAAGGTGTTTGGAGAAGAATACCTTGCTAAATGCAACCTTCCCAAGTGCATTTGTTGTGAGTGTTTTCATAAAAGAGCTGGAGGAGTGAACATATGGCAGTAATCGAAAATCAGAATTGGTGGGTGCTGGATATCGATCGAATCTAGTCATGGAACTTGTTTTGTAAACGTTGTTGATGAGGTTAGTGACATTATAATTTGTTGCTGGAAGTTTATTACTAAAAATGCCAAATAAAGAGACATACAAAATGTATATCAGCATTAGTTACTCAGTGTCAAATAGATGTTCAATATAGTTGATTGCTAGAATCAACTATAATATGAACACATATATTTTCTTGGCCTTAGTTGATAAATCAACTCTAATATGAATGATCTAGTTAATTTTAGTTTTCCATGTATTTTCCTTTCTGTTTATAATCTGATGCATGTCTTTTTTCTGTTTATAATCTGATGCATGTCTTTTTTCTGTTTATAATCTGATGCTTGTCTTTCTTTTGTTGTAGTCTTTCTCAGTTTGCTGGATGGGAAGCTTGGGCAGTTTCTACTGCAGCTGCAGAATTTGAGAAGTTGCAATCTTTCTCCAGTTTGTGTAGAATTTGAAAAAAAATCAGAATTTGTGCAGTCTTTCTCCACTTTGTGAACTTGAGAAGCTACAGAAAAGTTGTTGTTTAGGACGAAGCTTGTTAAATTGGACTTATTGTTTAGGATGTTAGGATGGAACATGCTGTTTAGGATGAAACTGGAGAAAAAATCAATTGTGGTGATATCTTTCATGAACTTTTATTTTCTTTCATGTGGATAAATATGGTTTTCATGTATTTGCATATGATCAGTAATACAATTCACATTTGTTTTTTCTATTTGTTCTTTTTGGTGCCAGAGATGAGCCAGCTTTTCCTCTTGAAACTGTGATGGCAGAAATAATGTATTATCTGCTTTTAGTTAATTGCAAACATTAAAAATCCAGTTTTTTTTTTTTTTTTTTTCAGGTAAACCTACTAATTTTATTAAAAAATAAAAGAATTACATCCTAAAAATCACACTCCCTTTTACATAGGCGAGGACCTTGGACATGCCCAATGGACCAAACTACACAAAAAGAAACAAGAGCAACCAAGTGTATACAATCCTTATACACAAACAGTAAGACTACACAAGACAACCAAACTGAAGCCTTCACCCAGAAACTGCAAAAAATGCAGCAATCACGCTGCACCTCCATACACAGCACTGTCCAGATCACTACTTCAATAGAGAAGAAAGATGATTGTTTCTTTCCTGTTTATTATGCAAAAACTTGTTGTTGATTTTCGCAAGTGTACGAAATCGTGCAAGTGATAAAGTGTATAAATACGGATATCGAACCCAAGGGAATTACTATTATCAATTACCAATTAAACTATCCTATTACTATTTGATCAATCCAAATTTTATCAAGGAAAACCTAAATAAAATAAAATTAACAACTGAATTAAAAAGAAAACTGAACAGAGAACAATTAAAATGAACATTTGGGTAAAAAAACAAGATGACAAGACCTAGGGCAAGACTTCACACCAACTCTTATTCATATGTGTCGATCTCTTATGCTAATTTTTTAAGCTCTTCCCACAGTTCAAACTCCCTAAATTTCCAATAACTTTCTCTCGAACAATTATCAAATTAACCCCTAATTACTAACCCGAATTATCTCTAATCAGATTTAAGCAATTGGAGATCATTACGCTCTATGGAGTTTACCAAAACTTCACAAGTCGCGGTAACCTATCTCTAGCGTTCGCTCAACCTATGATTTTACTACCGTAGACCAACTAAGTATCATCTCTCGATCTCAACCTAGTCCATTAGTTCATTCAATTCTTGGGACTTTAAGAATCAAAAGCATTAGGAATAATAGTAAAACTTAGGAAGACTTCTTAATAAAAATTAACAATCAAAGATCAATACATAATTAAGAGATTGGGCTACATCTTAGCCCTAGAGAATAAAATTAGTTCATAATAAACATGAAAGAAACAATCATCTTTATTAAAACATTCATCATGAGTTTACAAGAAAAGAATAAGGAAAACTTCTCTATATTGTGAATCAAAGCTCCAGAATTTCTGTTACTTCTCTTCTCTCCTCTTCAGATTTTTCTCCCTTTCTTCTCACCCAAGAATCCCCTAAATAATGCTAAAAGACTTCTATTTATATCCCACAAGGGTTAGGGTTTGTTTTTCCTTAATTTTATTTGATTTGGAACCCTTAACCCTAGTCTCCTGGCTAAAAATGGACAACAAACTAGTGACTTCCATGACTGTGCCATGGTACTGTGCTGCAGCATAGTAGCTACTGGAAAAAGTGTGCCGTGACACTGTACTGCGGCACAATAGCTGCTGCCCTTTTCCCATATCATTCCACTATTCTTCAAAGATGTTGATTTTTTAACTCGATAACTATGGAATTTTGAAAAGTTTTAAACATATGAAATATAGCCCTTTGAATCAGCTTTCCAACGGTCTAAGAATCGTCTAAATACGAGTTTTAAAACTCAAGATATTATCAAAATACCGAGGCATGCGCAAGCTGGAACGTAATCTAGAATCTTCTCTTTACTTCCATAACTTCTTCAATTCAACTCCGATTCTTAATCCGTTTGTTTCCACTCATCACTCATTCCGTTGGAAACATGATTCTTCATCCGAGCATAACATTTAAGCACTAGTGACCTGAAAAACACTAAAAAACACCCTTGATCCCGTAAAAGACAATTATGAAAATATTAAGCAACTTACCAAGTTAAGCCTAATTTCCCACAATTAATGCCCCAAAAGCCACTAACTAAATGTGTATTTTCAAGCTCTTATCAATATACAATCCTTATACACAAACAGTAAGACTACACAAGACAACCAAACTGAAGCCTTCACCCAGAAACTGCAAAAAATGCAGCAATCATTGTAATATCCCACTTGAGGTACGTATTTAAGATTTGCTGTATTAGTTAAAAGTTTACTGTTTCAGTTTCAATTGAGTTTGTATGTTGAGTTGGTTGAATGGTTGCCTTGAAATTGGTTGAATTTTTGGTGAAGTTTGGAAATCCAATCTTCGCCGGGGCGAAGAAGAAGCTTCGCCGCGGCGAGGAGGAGCTGCACCCACAGGTAGGTTCTGCTCTGTTTCGCCGGGGCGACGCAGAAGTTCTTCGCCGCGGCGACGACCAAGACAAAGTTTCTTGAGTTTTCTAGAGAATTATTCTTTTGGGGCACAATGACCATTCTACCCCTAATTAGTAGAAAAGTGGGGAGTAAAATGAAAGGAAATTTAGTAGAGTTTGTGTTTGGGGGGGGTGTTTTGTAAAGAATCAAAGGATATAGATGGAATTTCCAAGGAAGGACAAGGGCAAATGGAAATGATGCTTATAATATGCCTAAAAAGGGTTAAGTGTAGAGAAACCCTTTAGTCCATCCATTCCACTGCCTCTTCCATTTGCCTACTTTCTCTTAATTTCTCCATCCAATCTTCCAGATTTGTAAGGGAATTAAGGGGTTTTGAGTAGGATTTCATCTAAACATCCTAGGTAAGGATTCATACTTAGATGTGAGTTTTCTTATAGTTATAGTGAAGTCTTATTTGGTTGTTTTATTGTTCTGTGTGTTGTTTTGAGTTGTAGAGAAGGACAAGACAACAAAGGAAAGGAAAAGTGCTAAAGAAGTCACCTTTGACAAGGTAAGTAAATCCAACCCAACTTAAGGTTTAAGCAATCAAATGATAGATATGTATGCTCATATTATGAGCTTGAGATTGATTGTTGAGAATGATATTTTGATGAGTGATGGCTTTTGATGAGAAGATTTGAGCCATGAGAATAGAAATGAAGTTGTGGTAACCAGTGAAGTTTGGTTACATTTAGAAAGAATTTAAGTAGAATAATTGAAGTGTTTTTCTTGGCCATGTTTAGATTATTGTGGGTTAGTTTTGATCCATTATGGATGGTTAAAGAAAGGGTAAAGAGGTATCAAAAATAGAATTAAAGTATGCATGCATTATATTTGATGAAATGCCTAGTGAAGTTGCCCTGTCACTGCCATGACTTTCTAAGTAATTTTTGGGCATCTTACGATGAAATGGGCTGAGACCAAAACATAGAAGTTATAGCCCTTTTTCTAGCTTTAAAACGAACCAAAACCGTAGCAATCCAAGGTGTATACGCAAGTTATGGCCCTTTTGTGTGACTTGTGCAAAATACTGTTTTGAGGAATCTTGTATTTGGCATTTCATTGTGCATTAGTGAGCATGAGCTAGCTATACACATTTGTTTATACACTTAAGAAGTAGCTTGAGACTTAGTAAAGAAGTTGAGTAAAGCTACTTTAAGAATTAAGAGAAAGAGAATAGCGTAGGTTGTGCGATGGGGAACCCGTGAGTAATGGGTAGAGTATTCCCGCATGTCCGCCGCATTGAGAGAGCGGCATGAGTATGAGATAGAGAGTGGTGTAGCCCATGAGAGTGCATACGGATGAGGCTATACCCGAGTACCCGAAAGAGAGATTATACGCTCACATGGCCAAGGTTTTCCGAATCCATGCATAACCAGTCCGATCGGCTAGAACGAGTAAGGTCACGTAGAGTGGGAGCGAGTCCCGGCCGTGCCCCCGGTAAATGGCCGTGACTTTGAAAGAGTTATTAGAAAAGAGTTCTAGAGAGAAAAAGAGAAAGAGAGAGAGAGAATTACCAAGAGAAGTTGCATGAGAAGTTGTAGAAAGAATTAGAGAGAGAGATTTACGGGGATAGATGATAGAGGATTTACTTACTGAGCATTATTTTAGTGCTCCCCCTGTTGTTTTCCTATGTTTTGCGGATTTAGGTGAGGACACAGTCGGATAGACGTGACACGCGAGAGGAAGCGGTTACACTGTCCACCATGTTTTAATATCTTTTGTACACATTATAATCTGTGTAAAAATGTATATATTTGTAAAGAATATGTATATATCTTTAATAAAAGAAAATTGTGGGCCCAATTTCTTTATATTATTTTATATGTATTTATTATGATAATTTGAGTAGTAGTGGCTGTTACAATCTGCTGCCCCTCCATACACACCACTGTCCAGATCACTACGTGTAACGCCCCACTTGAGGTACGTAGTTATTGTTTCTTCTTTTGCTCTTATTTGAGTTGGTTTCTTGGTAATATTGTTTGGTTGACCTTTGATTGAGTGTTATGTTGAATACTTGCCCTGAAATTGGTTGAAAATAGAAGAGTTCAGTGTTCCAAGCTTCGCCGGGGCAAGAAGAATCTTCGCCGCGGTGAAGAGGTGTTGAAGCCACGGGGAACTGCTGGACAGTTTTGCTGCGGCGACAGAAGTTTCTTCGCCGCAGCGATAGGCCGACCAAATGTTTGTTAAGTTTTAGATATTTTCTTCCCTAAGGGCAATTTGACCATTCTACCCCTAATTACAGGAAAAGTGGGGAGTAAAATGTAAGGAATTTTCATGGAGAATATGTTGCTATGGGGGTGTGTTAGTAATGAATCAAAGGATATAATAATTCCCAAGAAGAGTAAGGGCAAAATGGGGATGCTTGTGTATAATTTTCATTAAAGGGAATTAAGTCATTGCAAACCCTTCATTCTTCTTCTCCATCACCACTCCCTCTCTTGCTTCCTCTCAATTCTCTTTCTTTTGATCAAGGAGTTTTAAGGGCTTTTGGAGTGATTGGGGTAAAAATCAACCTAAGGCATCCTAAGGTAGGATTCTGTGCTTTGGTTGTGAAGTCTTGTGAGTTTTTGTATATATTGAGTTTGAGGGTTTTTGTTCATTTGTTGAGGTAGAGAAAAGTCAAGCAACCAGTGAAAGGAGAGTTAGTGAAATCTCTC